CGTAGTGTGGGCTCAGTCATGGGGGGGGGGGGTCTTTATTCTAATAGATTAGCGTTTTCCAACTTTCACGTCACCTCAATCCAAGGCAAAAATCATCAAAGATGATTCGTTTTTCATCGCTCGTAAACATAGACGTACGGACGGACTTTTTTGGGGTTTTTTTATTTAGGTTTTATTTCCACATTAACTGCAGATGAAAAGAATTTACAAAGTAACGCATATACAAGGGAACAAAACATGTACCTATACGCGATAGATACAAGAGTAAAAACGATTTTTATGCAAGTCATTAAATACAAATGATGCTAACAATAATCTGCAGTAATGAGGAGGAAACCTTGGCAGCATTATGCCTATAATCAAGGTTCGCTTTACATAATACGTGTGTTACACAATATATAAAACAAAAAACTAAACTAAAGAAGAACATAAATGGGTGTGTGGTGCAGCCAACCAGCAAGTGTTGATAATAACGATGGTCTCCATCATGATGACCTTCTTAAGCATTTTCATACTGAAGAAGAAGTTTATGTTTATAAGTGATATTTAAAAGTAATTCAATTGGGCAGCTGTTTGAGCACCATATCCAAGAAGTTCCAGTACACCGGACCAATGTATCAAAGTTGTTTTTTTAGTAAAGTTCTCAGTCTGTGTACACAGTAAAAACGCTGCTTAAAAAAGTGATGTTCACTTACAGTTGTACACTATCTTAAACAACAGTTGAACAAATTGTAAACAATGTTGCTCAAAACGAAAGTAATTTTGTTGAACATTCGCTGTTTAAAATTTAATGACTGCTATATTTACTATACGAGAGCTTTTAGACAGTGTTGTTTACATATGACGTCCTGTTTCACGTGCCAGTAAAGTGTCCGTTGGCTGAAAGCTTTATTTCACATCATGGCCGACCAAGCTACCGACGCGCTTCTAAGTGACTGGGGATTCAATGGTTTAATTGAAATCACTTTTCTATTAACCAATTTGAAGTTTTTAACTTATAGCGTAAGTTCACAGTTAAAATTGTCAGTATCTGTACGCAAATATCAGAATATAGGTAGACTTAAAATCGTCGCGTCATGCAGTGCGGCACTGATCGCGCACGCAGTTTTAACGTGTGCTAAATTCTTTGCCATAGAGATTGCATGCATCCCTATGCAGTTTATACGTGCGTGCATGCACGCTCATGCAAAATGGGCACTGTTTTGGCGCTAATAGTCTTCATATATAATATACCTATATAGAGACTCAGAAGTAGTGGTGCAGTTATTCAGAGTATCAAGCCCAAATTATACCCCATTACACAATCCTTTTGTTGTACACAACCCCCACTGAACAACAGCTCCTTTTTGAACAACTTTCTTTAAACAACCCAATTGGTGTAAACAACCCCCACTGAACAACAGCTCCTTTTAAAACAACCGTCTTTAAACAACAATGTTTTATTTTCTAAAAAAATAACTATTAGTGTGGTTTAAACTATTATTGTGGCATGTTATTCGTATGACGCGTTTTTGAAGTATCAACAATTTGTCCCACTGGTAATTAAACGAATGTCCCAATACAAGTATGCCATAGTTAAGATAAGGCAAGATAAGCGTCGAGTACAAACTTTTCAAAATATACTTAGGAAACGACATATTTAATTCATTGGTTATTCCAATGTTCCTTGATAGTGTTTTACTTAAATATAAATTGTGTTCTTTCCAAGAAAGTTTATTGTCAATGATAAAACCAAGGAATTTTGACGAATCTTTCGCGTGAGGGCTTAGAGGGCCTCCTGCCCGAAAATATACAGTTCGGATCCCACATAAAATGGATAAAATGTAAAATTATATATTCAGTCATCTCGCTTTCAGGAATCATCTTGATTTATTAATTTTCAGAAAAGTGAGGCTAACGAGAGTTTAAAAGACACTTTGTTGTGGTATAATTAATTTCGATACACCGATAGAATATGTTATATTAGGGCGCCTTGCTGCCCGATATTGTCATATCATCATCTGGGGATATTCATGGACCTCGCTGCCTAATACTTCTCCGTTTCTAAATGTTGGGAGGGAGTGAAGCGAGTGATGAAAAAAAGACACTGTACTAGTTATTATTTTCTTATCAAACTATCAAAAATGATATATAATTGGGCATCTTGCGGTTTCTGATACTACGTTTTCATAAGGTCGACGTTATTACAAAATGTATTTTTAATCTAACTATAATACTCTCGCGGCTACCCGGTTGAAAAACGCTGTACTAGATGTTTTCTATTGACGGGGCAGATTGGCTAGGCCTGGAGGGAGAAATTTTCATTTTTAAAGAGAAACAGACACACAAACATACTTTTCCCGTCTCCCCCCCCCCCCTTATATCAAATATGTTTTACTCCTATCCACTTGTTTTACTCCTTTGCTTTAAAATACATCAAGGATGCCGATCAGATTACCCCAAAGTATTTTTCAATAATTGTTTAATGAAGCTTTAACAACATATTTCATCTAAGAATTATTATGTTGCCCCGCATTACTGATTCGCATCATATAATAATATTTGAAAAGCGTTTTAGATTAATCTTTCTCTTTGTGTTATATCACGTTTTTTTTCCTTTTCCTTCATCTCTCCCCTCGCTCTTACCTTTTTTGTTTGCCATTCGTGCCTTCCCCGTAGGTACGCCACTGAATGTATTCTAGGTGAGTAATGAGCAATGAACGATGAATCGAGATACTAGCTACATGTGCATGTATGTTAGTAGTTGTATTATAGGGTTTCTAATAACTTGTTGTTTCAGCAGTTCAATAAGATTCCAAGGAACTTTCGTGTGTTTGTATTTGCCTGTCCAGAGAACTTACTCACTGAACGATGAGCACTTCACTGTTATTTATGGACAGCCAAGTTTCTTGCGAAATTCAATTCCATTACAAAAAGGCCAACTCTATCGCAAAATTCTACGTAGCCCTCTGAAATGGCAGCTTATGAAGCTAGCCACATGGCTTTAATAGCGTCAAGCGTGTTTTGATGTTTGCTATTTAAATACTTCAGCATGAGAAAGTTTGGCTAGGTAAAGGCTAAGTAAATGAGCGTCAAAGCCTGACGGATATTAGAGCTATGTAAGAAGCCGTTAGTAAATACTCGGTAGAGAAAAATGTGAAGTTGCTATAAAAAAATGTGTCTCGTGTGACGACGATCGAACATTATCAGGAGAGCAACAAGAATTTCAAAGGAATTTTGAAAAATATTATCGTTATTTTCTGCATAAGAATGTGTCAGGCTGTAAATTTTGTCTCGAGTCAATCAAGGAATATGTAGAAAATCAAACAAACTTGTCAAATATATCTCACTGTAAATACAACTTTCCACCTTTATCTTTGTGGTTTTGAATACGTAGTGGATAACATGATCGTATTAGACGTTAATTGTTAATCATGATTCAATCTTTGAATGTAACTATGCATATATAATCAATAATTCCTCTGATGAGGCAAAGAAAAAAATGATTGTATTAAAAATTATACTTATGTTGCGTACTTATGTTAGGTCCGGCGTTATTTTCTTCTGCGGCACAGATTGGGGCTTTAAAAAGGGGGTCTTGATATAACCCTAACCCTAACCCTATAGGCTCAACACGCACCTAACCCCAACCTGTGCCGCCGGAAAAAATAACGCGTCCGGGGCTGTTACCCCGGTGGAAGATAACTTGCAAAGGCAGCTCGTACAGGTGTGCGAGTTAGGGCCGCACGAAGACTATAGGGCGTGGCATCAATTAGTGTGTAATTGAATCATTCTAGCTTGCAATTTCAACGAGACAACTTTTATTTACTATGAAAGTGCGTTGTGTCATGCTATGTTACGACATGTGTCATAAGGTTTTCCAGAGTTTTTATTCTCGTTTAGTTTTCCCTCTGGTCTTTAACCCTGGGCCATGTTCGGCCAGTTTCCTGAAGGAAACGACGACAGTTATACAAAATAAACGGCCGGCTTCCAGTAGTCGTTGTCAAGCTATCCCATAATAAATAAAGTGTATATTGTGTTATTTGTGTGTATAGGGAGTCAAGAAGGATTACAGATGGTATGTATGATCGCAAATATTATATCTTGTCGATTTAACAGAAGTAAGTGAGAGAGAAAGGGAAAGAGCAACCAAAAATCCCAACTAAATACAACGTTTACATCATTTTCGTTTTAAGCCTCCTCTAAAATCGGTGTTTTCAGTATTTCAACATTCTAAGCACAAGGAGGAAACCTAATACAAGGGGATTTTTGTTGTTGATACTCCCCTTATGTATTATGATTTAAAGGTTAATGATATCATAGATAACAACGAAATGAAGCCTATGTTTTTATCAGATAAATTTTACAGTACCAATCATTTGAGAGTAAAAAATTGATGTGTAATAAACCAATTTTTGCCCTAAAACCTGACATTGATACTTTACAACGATGTTTTTAAATCACGGTAAAAACTCAATCTTCCCCCTCTATCTTACCAAAATAATACGGTTTTTATAGCGATGACATAATTACAGAGAAAATAAATGCACGGAGGCATAAACGAACAGTAGGAGAGATGGGGGGGATTATGTTAAAAAATAAAATATAAAAGATTTTATTGAATTACATTTGACTAAATTTGATTTGATTAGATACTGGGCCGTATGCATAAAAAGTAGCAATTGCTTGTGCTAGCCTTTTACTTAAATCCGTATGCATAAACATAAGCAATTGCTTGCAAGCAAATGCTTTTGCTAGCAAGCACAAGCAATTGCTTGATGTCCGCAAGCAATTGCTTAAAGATCAAGCAATTGCTTAAAAACGTATGCATAAAGCGAACCTTTTGCTTGTTCTTATAAGCAATTGCTTACGTTTTTTCAAGCTCCGTCATAGCAGCTTGAGCTCTTGCTTAATCGGGACGTTCGCGGTTAAGCATCATGTTTATGCTCGTTAGAGAAAAACCAAAGTTGTACAGGAGTAGAATAAATCGAGAAGAAATTGCTCCCGAGACCTATCGGAAACTATTCTGTTTGATTAGTGTCAGTCTTCTTCTTGAGGCTTGTCTTCATGTTGGCAATTTTTTTCATAATTTGTTTTTCATCCATCCTCTTGCCAATACTGGCCATGATCGTGTTCTTTGCCTGCTGTAGAGCTAGGGTTTTCTTTTCCTTTGCTTGCGGCAGCTGACATTTCTCAATCAATATGGGGAATTCTTTGATGATCTCCACCAAATGGGTACTAAGATCTTGGTCAGTTGTATTAATTTCCTCACCATCTGACGCCATGTTCTCACTTGTAGGCCTATCAGATTTAGCGGAAAATTAGACACACGTCTGCCTTACATGTAAAATCCCTTCAGTACAGTCACGTGTATTATACGTATTTTTCTTGTTAGTATATGCATGCCATGTGTGTATGTGTATTTGGGTGTGCGCTTGTGTGTGCATGTATCGGTGTTTTTTTTCTCATTTTGTTCTGAAATATGTCATCCTGGAATGTTATACTGCCATGTCAGGAAAGGCTACCCCACACGCATGACATTTGAATACACTACTAGTATGCGAAACCCGCCTTTGTTCTCCCATGAATGATGTTCGCACCGGCGTGACGTCGCTATTGTTGAGATCGTAAGCAATTGCTTGCTGGAGGCAAGCAAAAGGTTTGAGCACAAGCAAAATGTTATGCATACGGATTTAAGCAATTGCTTGAGCTTGATCTTTTGCTTGCCAAGCAATTGCTTGTGCTTGAAGCAATCGCTTGCAAGCAATTGCTACTTTTTATGCATACGGCCCACTAAATCGACCTAAACACATGGACCTAATGCACCTATTAACAATGTTTATACATCGTGACGAAGTGAATTGAGTATGTGGAGTGTGTGTGTGCGCGCGAGTGTGAAAGTATGTGTGTGTGAGAGAGAGATAGAGAGGGTGAAAGTGTGTGTATGTGAGAGAGAATAGAGAGGGTGAAAGTGTGTGTGTGATAGAGAGAGAGAGAGAGAGGGAGAGATATAGAGAGGGAAAGTGTGTGTGTGTGAGAAAGAGAGAGAGAGAGATAGTGTGCGTGTGTATTTCTGTGTCTCTTTTTCTCAGCTCTCTATCCCTGTCTGTCTCTATCTCTCTCTTTACCCCCCCCCCCTTCCACTCTCTCCCCCCTCTCGCCCCCCTCTCTCTCTCTCTCTCTCTCTCTTTTGTTATAGCTATCTATCTACCAAACCCTCATTTTTTTAACTCAGATCCTGGTCATTTTGGATTCGTAGAGCCCCACCTTTTTAGGGAAGTTCTAAATTAGTATTATCTTTCAAATGCCGTTGGAATTTAACCTTTTCATTTTTTTTGACCTGCAAATAATAATAATAATAATAATAATTACAGTGCTTATATAGCGCCTAACACTTACTTTGTCAGAAGTCTCTAAGCGCTCTACAATAATGCAGCATAATTACCGTGGCTTTAGCAGTGCAGCTGTTACATAGTGCCTTTAAAACACCGACTTTGTTTTACTCCGAAGGGTACGGTGCCACCCCTCTCCTCTATTCTAGATCGAAGTCGCCACAAGCAGTTCATTTGTTTGTTTGATTTTAATTCTGCATTTTTGAACAAAATAAAATGTAGCATGCAAACTAGGTAAACATAAAATACATATATAATCACCCACAAATAATGAATTAAATCAAATACATTGTATTAAAAAAATACACTGTTAACAAAATTATGGAGGTGTTTTATCATAATCCGAAATGTGGTATACAAGAGAGGACATTGTTACCCCTCATTTTCCAAATATCGCACGTGAAGCGACGCCGCCCCTGCCATACACCATAGTCTACACAGCCTCTGTTGATCATGAAACATCTGATAAATTCCGATTATATCTCAGCTTTGTTGCATATTTAAAAATTAAAATCGATATCTACATGTACCATATGGAATTCAGCAAGCAAGCATTCCTTAAAACATTAACAAAGTTTATCGTTTTCCTCAACATGTCACAGCCCGTGAAATGGTGGTTTGGAACAACAATTGTACCATAGCATATAGAAGAGAATTGAATAAACTGTGCCTGGCGATACAGGCAACAAGAAACTTAATTTTATAGAAATCCTAGACTCTTCTGAAGTTCGTCATTTTTAGCATCCCGCGAGAACAGGACAACGGTTGTACCATCATACTGTGTACCATGACACTGGCATAAGGGTTTAAATTTTGTTAGGAAAGAATAATATGCGAATAATAAGGTACAATATCGAAGCCTTTATACAGTTAGACGTTTAATAAGGCTTTCCTATGTTATGCAGCAGCATTTAACAGAATGTTCGTAATGGTGCAGCATAGGCCTATTTTCAGCGAGTGAATACATTAAGTTATTTCTGCATGTGTTAAGTCGGAGATAGGTGAGTGAACGCTTAGCATCTGCATCCCAAAATGTTTACGATAGTAGTACTTACGGAACAACGGCTGTGCCATGGAATATGGTAAATGGTTAAACAAGCTGATTGACGGTTAGCCATCGAATAGCTCCATTCGTATAAAAATAATTTCAATAAAGTTCATCCTTGTCAGTATCTCACGAGAAAAGAACAATGGTTATTCCAAGATATGGACAAAAGAGTGTAACATGCTGTTACAAAAGAATATTCAGTACGTAATTCCATGAAGTACACAATTTGAATCCTTACATATTTGAACATGTAGCGTCGAAATCTTACTATCCTCAAGACCGTGGTACGAAACCAGGCTTCGCCATAGCATAAGCAGCAGCATTCATAAGGCTGTTCATAGTAGTGCATTTATTTGGTAATTTCAAGAAGTACAATTCGAAGACAGGAGGATGAATGCTTACCGTCGACATCTAACAATCTTTATGACAGTGCTGTCATAGCATGCGCGGCAGAATTCTGTAGGTTCAGCATTCACCGTTATGTATCAAGCGAGTCACTTCACTACAAACACAATCATAAAAACCTTTACATATTGATCGCTCATTTTCGGCATTTTACAATCCGTAAGATAGTAGTACGAAACAACGGTTGTGCCATGGCGTATGCAACAGGATTGAGCAGACTGTTGCTGAAGGTGATCCATCGAGTTACTTCGTTCAGCACGAAATCACTGGTCAAAACGTTATTGTAGATTAAACTTACGGCATTTGGTAACCACGTCACAATGAAAACGATTATGATGAAGGTCAAAGTCAGCATAACTTTACTGTTTTCAGAAGATGGTACTTGACGAGCTTTGCCGTGGTTTTGCTGAATTGACGACTTTGCCGTGAAAACAGTCGTTATTCTTTGATCTGTTATCTGCTGTGTCTTCTCTTGTGACGACGATGCAATATCAACAATGCTTGCATGATGTTCCCTGCTATTGGTCTGAATTTGGGTTTGTTCACTAAGATTGACAGAGACTTCAGCGAAATGGTTTTGAGTCGTATTGCATGCTTTCTTTAGAGACGCACAGTTATTCTCTTCAATCAACTGATCTTGACGTTCTGTCCAACAAACCGAAGGGTTCATCTTACGCTCCTTTGTAGCCATAGCTCCAGTCTCAACTCCAACTTTGAGACTGCGATTAAATCTTTTAGAAAGTTTTTTGCTGCCTCTGGTTTTGACTCGAAGAAAAATCTTTCCGTAAAGAGTTACTATCAAAACAAAGGGAATGATCATTCGACAGAGTGTAACGCCCACAATAGAATATACGTTTTTACCGTAATTTGGGCTGAAGACTATACTCTGTGAATTCGATTCTACTCCATCTACCAAGTCCCAAATTGTCGCGATAGGTATCCAGAAGGAGATGGACAACAGCCAGGTGATACCATTGACGAAGTGAGCGATCCTTTTGTTCTTTCGTTTGAAATGTTGAATCGGGTACCAGGTTGCAACGTAACGGTCCATGCAAATCGCAATGACACCGAGGACAGAGACCCCAAGGAGGGTGTTCTGGACGCCGACAAAGACATAAAAGAGGGATGTACCAAATATCCAGTTGTCATAGAGGGCCAAGGTACTACGAATAGCCATGATAAACCCCACGAGAATATCGGAGATGGTGATGTTGAGGATGTATTGGTTGGAGTAGGTCTGCAATTTTTTCTCGATGTGGAACGCTAACAGGATAAAGACATTCATTCCAACAGTCACAACCGCCAGGAGGAGCTCTATGCAGAAAACAATCTTGGCCTTTACAGAAGGGTTGAATGTCGATTGATGAGACTCTGTCGTCATCACTGGGCCAAATGTAGCGCTGAAAACAGACGTTGTGTTCTCCATTTTCAAAATCTAAAGGGTAAGCAAAATTGTAATTGATAAAGCAACAAATGGATGATGAACATGTATGAAGGTTAAGACAGCATTTAATATACTCCAAACAATTTTTGTTGACGAATGACGACCACACTTTAGTCTGACTCTAATTTTGTCGGTGTTTATATCCTAAAATATAAACATAAACCGATTCCTTGTCTGAAGCCTTTGATTTGAGTGATCACAAAATGATAATTGTTCAATGCATATACAATACTCTTCATTGACCAGCCATAGGAACTGTATAAACAGGAAATAGACCATAAAGTACAATAATGAATAAGTGAAGAGCAGCTTACCAGCTCGAGAAAATGGCGGCAACAGTAGAGCTACACAATTATGAAAATGGTCGTTGGACTACCACCACATAGAAGTCTATTAATACACCGGTAACTTGACGCTCAACTGTAAATCATTTCTCCGGCTACTGATAATATCTGCTATCTCAGTTCTGAGACATGTCGTACATTAGGAACGTGCAGGTTTGACAAGAACTCCAAACGATAGAATTATGTGAAACCCAACCTCGTATGATCGACAACCGTTATTAAAAGCAAACAACCCTCAGCCAATCCAAGAAGTGAAATATTATAGTGTTCATCATCGAATATATTTTTGGGTTATGAGTCCATGAAAATTATATGGAAATCTTTAGTTGAAGAGTCACACACAAAAAATCTTTGTTTTCTTTTTCTGTGTAGATACATTTACTACTGTGGTAAATCTTATATTACAAAGATAAGAAAAAGGGTTAAAAAGAATAAGACCTTGTCTCTAGTTAGAATGAAAAGAAAGTAATTAGATTAACGCCCCCTCCTTTCAGAACCCTGTACCCCAAACGACTTTAAGGGTTCAATGCCAAAGCCAGACCTTGCGTCCTGCAGTAGACCGGGCTTGTGTAGTGATTCGAGAAGAAGAAAGTGTGTTATAAAAAAGGTCCATTAATAAGTTCATATTTAACTTGAAATTCTTAATGATATTAGGCCAACTTGACAACTCGTGTCCATCCTTTGATATTATGTCGACTGAATATTACCATCCAATTAGTGCGGACTTCCTGTGCCAAAACGAGCCATCACCTCTCCAAATGCAACATTTTCGTCTCTTAAAAGCCCTTTGCCACATCGTTATTAGTTATTCAAACGACAAAAAATTGAATCATTAATTGTTCGTCCACGTCAAGAAAGAAAAATAATCAATTCGTCATTCGAAAAGGAAATTTGCAGTACCATTCATCTTTCACTCAAAATGTGTCCAATTTGCTGAATTGTTATAGGCAGAATCGATGCAATGTCCATCATTTTATGTGTGTTAATTGAGTATATTCCATAATTGTGGCTTTTCTGTGTTTACCCAAGCCATCCTCTTTTCAAGTGCAACACTTTTTTTTCTCTAACAGCCCTTTGCCGCACGGTTTTTCTCAAACCAAGACAAATATAGATTGGAGTCATTAACTGTTCGTCCACATCAAAACGAGAAAGTAGAGTTGTCATTTCGGAAATAAATTCTGTTATCCAAACGGAGCACCTTCCACCTTACACTCACCATTTCTCGAATTTCCTGAACTACAGGGTGAGTCAGAAAAAATGTATGAATATTTAATTATGGGTTTCATGATATGTCTTGATAGAGTTATCCTCCCAGTACATTGAGGTACCATTTTCATTTGAATCCCTTCATGCATGACTTAACTTTGCACTACCTCTAAAAGCAAATAAAAAAAGGAAACATATCGCTATTAAAAAAAACTTGGCAAAATAAACATGCCACTTTCCATCTTTCAGATAGAAGCATATATTCTCCACGCTACTTAAAACACTTTCCAAATCACAATCAGTTTAAACGGTCTGAAAACAAAAAGAGCAATGACTGTTGAAGGGGGGAAATGTCGGTTTCGTGAAGCTTCTACATTTAAGAATGTTTACAAGACCAAGAATTATGTGACAGGAAAATCGCACAAAATGATTGAGTATTACAGTTTGCACAATTCTGACTAAAAAATTACTTAATATTTGTTAGTTGATGTGGCTTTCTGGTTTGAGATCACTCTCTTGGCAGTCGAATCGAATCCAATTATCGTGGAACCACTCCTTAAAGTAGTGGTTGAAATAGTGATAATTAAAATGAGGATTTATATAGCGCTTGATACGAAGTACCGTCTCTATTGCTTTAATTCACGCACAATGTACACAATCTCCACTCCCTTGGGAGTATTCCTACCATATGGTCATCGCGAGGGCATATGGCAATGTGGCATCCTACCAGGCCCCCATTTCTCTCCTGGGTATGGAGTGGAAAATGTAGAGTAATGCCTTGCCATAGGACATTGATCTAACATGCATTTCCACTAAAGACAAAGCGGTCTCTAAAGACAACGTATCTCCACTCCTGTATATACTTAGACAATATGCCCATTTGACGTTTCAAGAATAAAAGCCATCTGGGAAGTAATTACCTCATGAGTAACTGTACATAATCATCACTAGACTCCAATGCAAACAACTTCGTCTACCAACATAGACCGCTTTCTCCACATAATGTCACTTCTAACGTTAATTTGCGTTATGCGACACAGCGTGCCAAAAGTTACACAATTTTTATCTAGGCAACGAATAGTTCTCACAGAATTTTATGAACTTTCTTCTTATACTACGAAGACACCCATTTTCTACACATTGTTGGAGAGTGACAAAAGCAAATTAACATCTATATACAGAAAGAGATATTACGTTACACCTGCTTAGATAGATATTTTCATTTTTTCATTTTTCATTTCATTTTATTTCATTCGTCATACACTGTCGCTCATAAAGTTAGAATATTTTTGTTTTACCCCAATATATGGAATTATTTTGAAAATAATCAAAAATAATACATCTAGATAATAGTATACATTCTCTGATTTTACTGAATGATAATTTGCCAATGTGTGTTTTGCGTGACTGCTAAAGCATGTGTATGCTACTATGCTTATCAACTAGGGGACCTACGCCCTTAAGTCATAAATGACAGTAATGAGGATTAATGCCCCACAAAACGGCACTAATATAGCACATCGACACGGTTTTGATCCTGGAGCCTTACAGTTACGAGGCCATTGCTTTGTCACTGAACCATGACTGTACGCAGCGGGGGCTAGGGTAGGGGGCAGTTTCCATAAATAAAATAAAACAAGGAAAATGCAATAAATTTTCAATAATTTATTGCATTTTATCCCGGTTTCCAACATAAAAAATCCTCTGTGTGTCCATGCCTTGAGCCATAATGCATGGCTGTCCAGAGGATGTGCTATATTAGTGCCCTTTTGTGGGGCATTAATCCTCATTACTGTCATTTATGACTTAAGGGCGTAGGTGCCTAGTTGATAAGCATAGTAGGAAACACATGCTTTAGCAGTCACGCAAAACACACATTGGCACATTATTATTCAATAAAATCTGAGAATGTATACTATTATCTAGATCGATTATTTTTAAATTATTTTTTTGATAATTCCATAAATTAGGGTAAAACAAAAATATTCCAACTTTATGAGCGACAGTGTATGATAACATACATGATTATAACATTGATATTTACAGATAAGTAAAGAACATACAAATAACATAACGAAAGATAATCATAAAATACAAATACATATACGAATGTGGAACCAGCAAGAAAGAACAATTAAGTCTTGTGTGGTGCTGGTCCCTTGCGACATAATCAAGAATTTTAACCTATAACACTTAACACCTAACACCTAACAACTAACACATAACATCTAATTTGAGCTTACATTTTTTTTTAAATTGCTTTTGACGATTAACTTACTCTGTACACATTGATAGCTATTTCATATGTATTGTAATTCGTAGGTTCTTTGCAGTTTTTGTGTTGTTTTGTTTAATATGTAATTGTTTATAATTGTATATTGTTCGTTATAGCGCTTAGAAACTTCGGTGGTAAGCGCTTTATAAGCACCGTTTTTTATTATCATTATTTACATTCATCGGTAATTTATAGTTCAAGAAGGAAATAAAGTGTTGATGTTCTGTGACGCAAACAGAGGTGGCGCTATCAGCCCTAAACCCCGATAATTTCTTTTGCAACGAAAATTGGAATACAAAATTGGAACTGATGGATTGTAACTTTTAAATCATAACACAAAGGATTAATCAATATTTGCAGACTGCCCTTCTTCCTTAGTTGTAAATCTGTCAGGAAAGGAGGACTGTGCAAATCCCATCTCATGCCTCTCCTTCAAATACGCTGGTGAGAAGACGGATTTATATTGATCGTTAACATCACTATCAGTTAAGTTGGGTTTCTTCTTTTACTTTCTATTACCAAGAATGAGACAAGCCGCACAATGACTTTCGCGTCTGCGACAAAGGAATTAAAATATTACTTAACATTTGAGTGGCAACATTAGTCAAAAGCAAACACTCCGCCAATCAATTTAATGAAATGTAACTCTATACTTATCAAAAATTATAATTTGTAATGATCTTTTTTAATGGCTATATACATCGAGAACTAATTAGAGAATTTGTGTTAAATGAGATTTTTTATAATCATAACACACCACCCCCAAAAGAGAGAGAGAAAGAAAGATGAAAACAAAAATAAAACAGAAAGAGAAAGAAGAGGGCAGCCTGTAGCAGCTGGGAAGAAATGGTCAAAGAAAGAGGGGTTTTATATGTTTAGAGGGTAGTACATTCTTCGAGGCTTGTGAATAGAATTGCTGAAATAAGATTTTTGTCAATATTTTACCTCGTTTTTTGCATGGATATCCATTACTGTAATAAGGACGAAAAATGTACCTTCGTTGCATGTTTTGTTCTTTAAAAAACAGATCAAAGGAAAAACGTACATACTTAAAGTACATGCACCAAAATTAGCGGCGGGTCTTCCCTCTTACGTCACACAAGTCCTTGATGTAAAAACAGAGTTCCACAGCGGGCAAAATTTAGAGTTGCAAATTGGTCACTTCAACCAAAGATTTCTTGGCTGGATGACAATGTTTGGCTTTCATACTTATTGTATTTCATTTACAAGACTCTCCTCTGTACCTACATGCACAATTTATTTGAATCTGACGACATTTCCAACCTTTCGATCTTCCTTAAAGCATGTCTCCTTTAATAGCTGATCTTTCTGGTGCGAGTTGAAAATAAATTGCTTTCACCCCTACATGTTTTATGTGAGTTTGTATTCATGTGTAAACTTGATGAGAAATTAATTTTAGGTGAGCTTGCATGTGACATGGATTGATGCAATATTGAAGACGCCCATATGTATGTGAATCGTTCTTTTGGTTGAAGACTTTTCATCAATTAATATCATGGCTCGAGCACACCAAGTCTATTATCATCGTAATTAGGATCGACAGCACAAGTGCTGTTTGCCTCTTTTTGAACAGTAACACGATCCTTCAATATAAAGCGCAGCAGTACCAGTCTTTTATGCAATTATAGGTTACTACTGTGTGGGCCTGTGTAAATACAAGGGACCAATAAAACATCATCATTGTCTATTTATGAAATTTTTTGAAGAGCAACATTGTATCCGATTGATGATATTTAGAGTCGTTCCATGTGAGCACATATTGCATTTTATTAGGATTGTCGAAATTAGTATTTGAGCACGTCTAAGAGATTCATCAATACGTCATTGCAGAGTCAATGATTGCATCACCTGATTTTGCTGGCATTGGAAATGCGATTTTATTAAAAAATATATTCTGGAAGTGTTTAAAAAACTCACGCTTCCGAACAGAGGAACGGCAAAAAACTAGATTAAGACGCTAAATCTCTGGTTTCTCTTTATTGATTCATGGATAGTGATTTTATCGTCACAATTCAGTCTCATGGCGCCTCTCACCGATATCAGTGCAAATTTACCGTATTTGACTGACTTTGGATTCGAGCCTGAAATGTAGTCCAAATCAAATGCTGGAAAACGCCAAAGTGCGTCCCACTGCATAACTTATACTGAAATATCGTTTAGTTGCAAAATTTACAGTTGAGTTTTGAGAAACTTTATGAAAATGGCCACTGAGGACTTATGTTCTGTTGCTGTTTGTACAACTGGCTCGATGAATGTGACAGAATCAATTCCATCGACAGGTGGTCCTACTGACAGATCTATAGCTATTTTTAGCCTCCTGATGTTCTTGTCTGTCACCACAGCGGTGCTAAACGTTCTGATTCTAATAGCATTCCACATCGAGAAAAAGTTGCGGACGTACTCGAACCAGTACATTCTCAACATAACCATCTCCGATCTTCTGGTGGGGTTCATCATGACGATCAACAGTGTTACCTATCTCTATGACGAGTGGATATTTGGACAAACCATTCTAAAAGTGTTTGTTGGTATTCAGAATACAGTCATAACTGTATCTGTTCTCGGTATCATTGCCATCAGTTTGGACCGTTACGTGGCAACACACTACCCTCTCCAGCACTTTAAACGAAAGAAGAAAAATATTGCCCACATTGTCAATGTCATGACCTGGATAGTAGCGGCATGCTTTTGGTTTCCCATCGCGACCATTTGGGACTTCATGCAACCACTCGATGTGAATCCCGACGAATACGTATATACGTCAAATTACTCAAGGAACATAAATGCCAGGACTGTGGTTACGATTTGTAGGTTCGTCATTCCTTTCTCTATAATCGTTCTTATTTGTGTAAAGATTTATCATCGAGTAAAAACGTCTGGTAGCGAAAGTCTATCAAAACGATATACATCAGAAGAAAAGACTGGAGGTAAAATTAACGCCACGAGTATAGAACAACATGGACGAACCAATGACACATTCGTAGAAACTCAGACCAATGTTGACAGCGGCGTTGTTAAAGTTCTTCAAGAGAATGCTACCAAACCATCAACCTCAATCCAGTCAGATCATATCGCAGTTGACATAGTTGAAGACGTTGGACAGCTTGGTCGAATATTTTCATCGTCGGAGCGAAGCATGCAACCTATTCGACACCAATTTACACCAATGCCCAATACAACACAATCAACAAAACCCGATGGGTTTCAGAGGAACCCTCGGCACCTGTCTTCGGCGGATAATCATAAAGCCTTCCGTACTCTGACCTTCATCATTGTGGCGTTTTTTATAACTTCGCTGCCAGGTTGCATATCAATCATAACGTCCAATAAAACACTCGCTGTTGTTGGTCGTTGGATGATAAATATCAACAGCCTTCTGAACCCCGTGACCTATGCTATGGCGCAACCGGTGTTCCGCAAGACTCTTCTACGGATTGTGAGGTGCCGACGATAAAACCTTTAGCAATGGCGTATAGCGGGGATCCAGCCATTGAGGGGCACCGATGCCATGAAGAATTGGAAACAGGTGGAAATGTAAACTAACAAGAGCATTGATTAGTGCAGGATGGGAGAGGTTATAGAATCGTCTTCTTTTACTTTCCCGTCTTCCCCTTTGTGTCCCCGCACCAAAGTCGCTACGTCGATGATCACTTGCATAGTGTCTAGATCAATGTGCCGAACAAACAGGAGTGGCACAGGTTAATAATAATTAACAACATTTGTATAGCGCTTATCACAAAATATGTCTCTTAGCACTTAAGAAAAATAGAAAGAGAAGGAATTACAGCCAAATATTAAGTTATACATAATAGATAGTGGACAATTGAGGGGGCTGCATATGCAAATGAAAAAGGCTATTTAACAAAAAAGTAGGTTTTTAACATGGATTTGAATTTGTCTGTTGAATCTGCTTGTTTTATTCATTGAGGTAAATTGTTCCAGAGTTGAGGGGATGCTGCATAAAAAGTTCGGGAACCATAAGACTGGGTATTGGTGGCAGAAACTATTAAGAGTGATTTCTTGTTTGAGCGCAGTTTGCGGGAGGGTAAGTATTCTGATATCAGCCTTTGAAGGTAGACTGGAGCTGTTTTTGTCAAACATTGGAAAGTCAGCAAGAGGATCTTAAAATCAATTCGTAAAAAGGCGTTATTTCGATAGCCAAACGAGCCCAAGAAGGCAATTAATAGCTGTGCCAGAAATTCAACGAAATGTTTGCACTGTTAATTTTTAATTATGTAGGCCTACGATCGATCTCTCACATGGTGCATCGAAGACAACATCAGTCGCTGACACCGTCCTACCTCAGCAAAGGGCACATCGCAACTAGCACTGTGGACAAACGCAGAGTATATTCACATATGCCACACGCGACCCAGGTGATTTAAATGGGTATCAGAAGATTACCCCGCCCCTCATCAAAGCTGCGAGATTATCAAGGTACGGTCAGGATAATGATTGATACGCCTGTGAATAGACATCTAGATTGTGGGATATTACTAGTATTGAAACCAGGCGGACTTGCACGATGGTTCGTGCTATTAGAACATCAATGCTAGTGGTGTTCAAAATGATGATACTATTGTCAAGGAATTACCGAAGTCAAACAAGAGACAGATACTAAGGACTCGACATAGGAGACATATGAAACAAATTCACTTTAGGGGATCCACGAGTGATTTAATATAATATTCATGATTCAGTGGCTAAGCAATGGCATCGTTACTGTGAGCCCCCAGGATCAAAACCGTGTCGATATGCTTTATTAGTGCCCTTTCATGAGGCATTATTCCTCATTATTATCAGTTATGACTTAAGGACGTAGGTCCCCTAGTAGATTAGCATAGTAGCATACACGTGCTTTAGCAGTCACGCAAAACAAAAACTTAACAATTATTATTCAATAAAATCTGAGAATGTATGCTATTATCTAAATCTAGTGGAATAAATTATTGTTAAAATCTTTCCATAAATCGGGGTAAAAGAAAATTATTCCACCATTATGACCAACGGTGTATATTAAATGGATCACACAGGAAGTGGACCAGTTCGGAGTTAGCGTTTGACCTCAAATGACCACCGGTTGTTGTTTTTGATGGAGAGCTCCATGAATAACTTTAGTGTCCCTTTTGAAGAAAAAAGAAATCCACCTGTATATTTAAGGTGTTGCAAATTTGAGATATGTTTTCCTAATCATTAGCAATGGTCACAACGATGTGATTGTTTGGCCTAATAATCAAACGATAATATGTGTCTTTTGTATTGTGTTCCCTTTTTTTCTTCTTCTATGAATATCAAAAATGCATCATTGAATTTTTTAAAGTTTCTGTTAACTCAACAGTTCAACAACTACTTGTATCTTGAGTTGTCAATTTTATTGATGTTGTAAATGTAAATGATTTCGAAAGCAAATGAAAATCAATTAAATCACTGTGCAGGGAAAAATATGGAGGAAAAAAAAAATCATCCCTGTCCTCATTTCAATCTACTCGACTATTCTCGCCTTTTTACGTTAATATGGATGAATCTTCTTGAAACCATTCAATGCGTATATGTATCTATACACTGTTTACCCATAATCAGCACCTGAAACCTGTCTGTGCCGTAGAATGAATGCGTGGATAGGGGGTCCATTATGATAATGACCCTATAGTACGGCAAATACGATGTTCGACTGTAGATGACGACCTTGCTCCCACTCTGCGCTCGTTAGCACATGCACATATATAAAACTGGGGAGGATAATAAGACGAGGTTTCTTCCGGCTACCATATAGAGAATGTACAGCAACAATCCATATTTTATTAAACTATTGTGTAGGTTTTGGTCCTCGAAAATTTTAAAATTTGCCCCCCCCCCCCCCTTGAGAAAAAAAATCATGCAAAATCACGCGATTTTTACCTTTTTTGGGGGTTGGGCCCCCACCCCCTGGCGCTCAAGGGGGGGGGGGGGTGCAAATTTTAAAATTTTCGAGGACCCCCCCCCCCCCCCCCCCCCCCCCCCCCCCCCCCCCCCCCCCCCCCCCCCCCCCCCCACCACTGAGCGACTTTTCGGCCGGCGCGATTTTCAAATTTTCGGGAGCAAAAAAAAAAAAAAAGTTGGGGCCCCTCCCCTAAGAAATCCTGGATCCGCGCCTGCATGAACTCCCCTAATGATTTGATGAAATCTATGTAGGCACTATCATAATCTGTTGCTTATAGTTTATTGGTTTCAAAACTATGATTTTCATCGGACTTTCCAGTTCTCGACCCATTGCATTTTTGTATGGAAACTGGAATTGCCTTTGCCAGATATACCCATGACTATTGCCAAGCGCGCACGCAGGATTTTTTCAAGGGGGGGGGGGGGGTTTAACATTTATAAATCGTGCCGAAAATTTCGCAACGACTCAGCCAGCCGCTGAATAAGCGGGGGGGGGGGGGGGGGTAAGAGGACACTTTTTTTTTTTTTTTTTGGTCCTCAAAAAAATCGCAACGACTCAGCCGAGCGCTGAATAAGCGGGGGGGGGGGGGGGGGGGGGGGGGGGGGGGGGGGGTAAGAGGACACTTTTTTTTTTTTTTTGGTCTCGAAATTTAAAAATTTGACATTTTGCTCCTTTGGGGGGGGGGGAGGGTAAGGTCAGCTTTTTTAAGTCAGTCATGGAATTTTTTTTTTGGTCCCAAAAAAAAACGATTCAGCCGACCGCTGAATAAGCGGGGGGGGGGGGGGGGTTGTAATAAATAATAATAAAAACAAAAAAAAATCCAAAGGGGGGGGGGGTTTTAGGGGGGTTATGGGGGGGTTTAAACATAAAAAAATACCAAAGGGGGGGGTTTAACGCCCCAAACCCCCCCCCCCCTGTGTACGCGCCTGACTGTTGCTGCCCTCTAAGACTATGGCCAAATACTGTAGTTGCGGTAGCGAGAATCATTCAACCATGAAGGATACACTGCATATGGAAGAAGATGATGTGTAAGCATGAAGGGAGAACTCTTGGAGGGATGTAGGATATATCGTGCACTTACAGTAGTTGTTACAATAATCTTTCCCAGATACACAGGTGGTACACCCATTCACCCAAAGAGTGAGGAAGTAAAAAAAAAAATTTAATAATCAAAATTGATTTTATTTAACAGTAAAATACTGTCAAAACTTATGCATAATCATATTTCTTTAATACAGATTGAAATTTTGAGTCTAAAGCACTTAAAAGGGGGAAATGTAAGGATTTCCAAGATTCCCTAAGTTTCTCTATTTCATAAAGTTGCTGATATAAACCAGAATATGAAAAAGATAATCGTACATGGCTCTAATGCTACATGGCTATAATGACCATAATCAAATCTCAAGAAAATAAATATTCAAATTTCACAATGTGGCACACCACTGGTACACAGCAAGCACACATAATTAATCAATTATGAATGAATATTCATCAGCTATTCATAATGAAGGTGACTGATGATTTCTTATACTACACTCGTCCACAAGCTTCAGTCTTTATGGAGGAAGTCAGTGGAGCCAGAGTAGTTTCAGTGGAACAACTGTGGACACAAGAGGGTTTTTTCTCAGTTGAGGCCTATGTATGCTACAGCTAGAGAGAGGATGGTATAATTATGGATGACCTGTGATGTACTGAGCGAGTGTAGCCTCCCCTTGATAGCTGTAGTTGCTTTTAAAAGTCTTGTCACTCACAGCTGAACCAGAGTAGTCTCAATCTGTTTCTGTTAATACAAACTTTGTGTTCTTTTTAATAAACATGTTTATATGAAGAGAATTATTATTCGAATTCTGCCAGGATTTTGTCTTGTTTTTGCCTTGATAACTAAACCCCTCAAAAAAAGTTTAGAAACTCAGGTTAGATTGATTCTATCCCTCTCGTGTCATGGGATAAGTATCGCTTCGTTAGTACCATCAGAAAGTATGTTTATTCCTCTTTCAAATGATACCATATTTCTCATGAATTTGCAGCCATGGAATGTACTGTAAATCGGAATGAGGGACAGGGTCAAACGTGAAGAGTTGCAAAAATGCACTGGTAAGCACTGGTCTTGTTATGCAGTGCACTACACAGAAACCACACACTCTTCACAGAAAGAAGAATGCACAGCCGAACAAGACAGTGTAGTACATTTTGCAACTTCTCACTTTTGACCTTGCACCTTACTTTGATGTAAAGCACATTCTATGACTCAAATATCATAACAAATGGAATATCATTTTAAAGAGAAATAAACACAGTTCGTAATGATACTAAACATAAGGATGATTATGCCATTTCAAGAAAGATACAGTCAATCAAACTTGAAGTTTCCAAACTTTTTGGGGGAGTTTATTTGAGAGATGCTATGAAAGGAATGGTGTAAATATGAATCTCTATTCGGTGATGTATTTGTATGGTTAAGTTTACATGTTTTGTTTTGTCGCCCACTCTTACCAATGTCTATGGTTTTAAATGGTGTACGAAGCAATAAAGAT